GAAGCTTGTACAAAACAAAACCGTAAAAGAGCTTCTTTAGACAGCCCTGACTGCCTCATTGTTGATGGGGAACACAAACTAAGGTACAAACAAACGAACGCACACACCAGAACGATATTCTCAGGACCCTTGGGAAATCGCTGATGACAAGAATTCTCTTTCGCGTGTGCCAACACCCTCCTCCTGATCGCCCCATCGTTGTGACTGCAACGATGAACGCACACATTGCTGACCTGACGAGGATGAGGATAAAAAAGAGGGAGCGCGCACAGTTCGATGGTAAGAGCACGAATCTAGCATGTTGAAGAGCAGAGCTCCAGCAAGTCGCTCAGTTCACCGTTCCAATAATTCATGATTTCCTTCTTAACAGACCGTCAACTGCCCAAAGGCAGACTGGGAAACGTTTCCTTTGCTTGCTGTCTATAAGAACGGAACACAGCTGTTATCGGACCGGTCACAATACAATTCAGAACTGCATATGACGAATTCCCCATGAGGCTACAGAGGTCACGTAGGTCACCTAAAAATCATCACGTTCATTATTCGATTCCCGTGAGTCCCGAGGAAGAGAAAAATGGCATGGAATGAGAGTAAACGGCGAGTATTATTATTTTTCTATTATAAAAAGGCCGTCTAATCAATTGCTTCGTGCGTCTAACCGTGATTGCGGAGTGAGTGACAATAGTTAGATTTTATTCAGTGCTTTTCAATCAACCAGGATGCAATTTTACGAACAATTGAGAAGAGATATTCATTTAAAATGGAAAATTGAAAATTCCAAATATTGACGAAAGCAACATGATAACCAATAAAAATGATTGTCCAGTAATTGATAAGATGATATTTATTTATTCTTGTCAGGTCACAGAGCCCACTAAAAACGTGTCTTCCAGTAGATTGAGTTGTTTCAATCCCTCGCAACCGGTTCGCATTCAGTCTTAGGAATGCCTTCGAGAAATACTATTAACTTTTTTCGTGTGCGCACGATTTATTTCCGACTGAACCCAAATACTAAACATCGTTAAGACAAGTTTATTGCTACTTCAAATTTTTTGTAGGGCAGAGCGAAGTTTTATGCGTTCCCTAAAATCTGTATCTTAATACCCTTTGACCCTGGGCGGGCTTCTTATCTCACATTCAGTATCGACTTATGTTTGCATCCCAATTAAAGTTAGGCTTGATCAACCAATCCAGATGACTCCGTAGGGAGTCGTTTTCGGTCGGGTGAAATGTCTCATTCTTGTTGACTGAAACTTGTGCCGAAAAACGAAAAAACGCCCTGACAAATAATACTTGATTGTTTCGTCGACTAGTTTATTCCTCTCTTTTCGCTCCTTTGGGAATATTTCTATCCCTTCTTGAAAGGGGTGCAAAGTGTGTTGGAGTAATTGGTCTCAGCTCATGTGCTTACTAGGTTGGAAGTCGCTGAAAGAAATCAAACTGAAAGATTCGGAGTAGAGTAGAAGCAGAAGCACGACAGAAATCAACGAAACTAGACTAAATGTTACCCGTAGGATGAGTTCACCATCCAGTTCTGCCTTATTGTTCCAACAATATTCTTCCGTTTCTTAGAAATAAAACAACCATTCGCATTTGAAATCACAATTACCTGGTGTGGGATTTGTGATATTGACTTGAATCTTATCGTTTGGATTTCACATTCATGCAATAAACCTCAGTTCAGTCAGTCAACCATAGACTCGGAAGCACTGGACTGGAGATTCGCTCTTATAGGAGCTTATCAGCAGTGCATAGCCATCGTCTGGCTTTCGAAATCCGGATCCATGGTGTGGAAAACGTGTCGTATGAGCTTTTAGCCTCGTGGTAACACAAGCATTATTTTCGATGGATCCCGAGTTCAAAGCCCGAATGGGGAAATGAATGTGCACAACTGCTGAGCTCTAACAAGAGAAACTCGTAACTAGTGCTTCCAAGTCAATGTTTGATTGGATGAACTGAGGATTTGTGTGAAACTGAAGTCCGAGAGGTTATTGGTTCGCATCAAAAGAACAAATGAGGGTAATGAATTATGCACAGATTTAACGACGGTTGGGAATACATAGGGTTATTCTTAATCAAAAGTTGAATACAATATGGTTAGCAGTAATTTAACTGTAATCTTTCATCGTTGATATAAAACCTATGGGCAAATGATTATGCAGTCAGTTATGATCTATTATCACGTGTTGAGCAATGAGAATCTCATTTACTGCTCAGGTTGAACCGGGGTATATTTTTAAGTGTTCAACAAATTGTATATAGAAAAATGTGAAATGGAAATGACTTCAGCGAATTTTATTAATCAACTGTCTCGTTTCCATCAAACACCTATGAAACGTGAACTTATCTTTCTCCCACTCCGAGTTTAATGCTGAAAACAAAAAAGACGGAAACAGTCATCATCAGCAACAACAGCACCGATTGTTTAACCGGCTCAACAGCCAAAACAAAACCTCAAATGCCTCGTAACGATCTCAGTTCGATGGAACTGTCACCGAACAGATAATGAAAATGCATCCATTAAGCGTGACTGGGTAGATGAGTGATTGGAAGCGTAATTGTTGGTGCGGGACAATGAACCGGTACGGGTGTGTGTACGTGTGTTCGTGTGCACATGTGTCGTGAAGAAGTCAGTCGTGAGGGCTGATGTTAATTGTGAGTGTGGAGTTTGAGAAGCGGTGTGTGAATGAGCAAATGGGAGCTAGTTGTGATCATTGAAGTATTATAGGGGATAAACACATCTCTTTGGGTGCTGGTTTAACAAACAAATTTCGGAGCTCGGTGGAAACTAGTCAACTGTGATTGTCAAAAACAATTATGTTTGCATCATCTGACGAGGTCAATTTATTATGTGGGTAGATAAGAGAAAACGAGAAAACTCAGTATCTATATACTTGTACCTCTGTTCGTTTGTAAGGCTGTTCTTGGACCGGAGAAACAGAATTTTTCCCTGGTGATAAGGTGCTTCGTTTAATTTTTTCCCTCGGTTTCTATCAAAGTTACCACTGTTAATAGTGAGTAACTGAAATTCACATTATCATGTAGTCGATTCTGCCTGTATGATCGTTTCGGATAAAGATCTGGCTTAACAGGAATTGACTTTAAATCTTTAGTCAAACCTAACCGCTCATCAACACGTGAGCAAAATTAAAATAATTTTATAGTTGCATTTTCTTGTCAGTGTTTTAAGAATCAAACAGATGTAACGATTTTGAGTTGTGGACAATTAGGTTACTACTGTCAATCGATAAGGTGAAACATAACTTTATAAATCATAAGCTACGTAAAACATATAGTACGGAAATAGATAAGAATGCTAGAAAGGACAAGGAATCTGGAGCATTTTGCTTGTGTGTATAGAGAACGTCGTTTTTCCGTGAAGTGACTGTCAAAAGCAATGCATTTTAGCTATTTAGTGTATTTCCAAAAATCGGGTGGATCAACTCGAGAAAATAGTCGCAGTGAATACATACTGATAACCAGATAACTCGTCATTCTCTGAACCATTATAAAGGAAAAAATTGTGTAAAAGTTGTTTCTATACTTGCTTACAAAATTTGAGCTCCGTTTCTGTCCATACCTAAGGCAACGCCAGCGCAGATGATGTTCAAGATAATAATGATAAATTTCCTTTTAATTCTTTTTTTATTTATTAAAAATACAAATGTATAGTCAGCTTTCACGAAGGCGACTGCGACCATACAAAGGCTGCCTGAGAAAAAACAGAAATAGAGAAGACAGGTGGCGGTGGAGCGGTTCGAACTCGGGACTCCCAGGTCACAAGTTGGTAACCTAAACACTTGGTAACGCACGCATTAATAAGGTTTTAGAGAGAAAATAATGTTTCAGTCAACTAGTGGATTTACAGACGCGAAATCAGACTGTCCTATATGTTCTAAGACAAGCTAACGTAAAAGTGTGCCGGATTCCGTTAAAAATACTTTACCCTGAAAATCTCACTTGCCATTATGCCCCTCTTATCATAGGCCCGTTTTTCCTATACGGTTTACTGTGACACTCAGGAAGTTTATCAGGATGTCCATTGACTCTTCTTCCTCCTCAGAAAGCCGATACAGAATTTGAGATGTACTCCTAGTCGGCCCTTTATGTAAAGCACTTCAATGACACACCACTGCTAGTTGAACTCCATGTGCACTTATTGGGAGATATACATATATAATATACAGTGCGCTTCCATATAAAACGCCTACTGTTTGTGCGATGTAAACTGAAAATAGGAACCTAACGAAAGAGAACTATTTTAACTGAAGATACCGGTGAAATGTTTATTTCTGTCTGTGTGTTGCCAGTCGCATCCGATAAGGCAAAGGAGAAATGATACATCAGTTGGATGGAAAGATGATTCGCGGTTTTGGGATAACACATCTGGAGCCAAGGGATAGATCAGATAGTATGCAATAGCGTCTATGGGTTTATTGCCGGTTTTTCCTTCAAATAGTCAGGGAGTCTCTGTTCTTGGACAACTAGAGAAACCGCAGAAATGGAGAGTGTATTTTGTTGGTGTACAGTAAAGATAAAAATATATATATATAGAAGAATAATTGGATTGTTTTTCCAAGTTCAGTCTAATTTTAAGTCGATGGCTTTCATTATGTAATCTCTTCCTGTTTACATCGAGTAACAGACCTGTGTTTGCTTGTTGAAATCCAAATTTATTCAGCATTATAAAACATCAGCCCTATTAACAGCCCAATTAAAAAAGAATTTAAAAAAATGAACTGTACTGTGTCTACTGTGCTCATGGTTTGGCGAATGTCTGCCAGGATGCTCAATGTACCTGTCTGCACGTTTGAATATGCCATCTTCTTACTGATTAATCGAAAATCACCTATTTTCTATGTTCTCTGATCTCAATGATGTATAATGTGTGTTCTTTTAATGAAGCAACACTGTGGGATACAATTTGTGAAGTATAATCTAACACCTCTGATCCGACTGCTTGTTTTCATCTGTCATCTATGTTATTTATTTCATTTCAGTTCTCCAAAGCTTGCAACTGTCCTGATCCGGCAGCTGATCCTGCCATGACTATCCGATGCTTGCAGAAAGTGGATCCCATGGACCTGGTTAACAATTTGGATTCGATTCACGAAGATGACGGCGTGCAAAGAAATAAAACCATGTGGGAAAATTTCTTTAAGAAAATGACCAAATCTCAACTAGGAAAAGGGGCATACCCCGGTTGGGCGACCAGTAGTCGTCGCTATTTCGAGGTACCACTCTCGGCCGTGATTGACGGTGACTTTTTGCCGACACATCCAAGAGAGATTCTGAAATCACCCCAGAAGTTCCGACCAACTACGGAGCTGCTAATCGGTGTGAACCAAGATGAAGCTATTTACTTTCTTCTTTACGGATTGTCCATGGAGAATACCGTGTTTTTATCTGATACGGGCCAAGTTAGTTTGCCGGAATCTATAAAAAAATCAGGACTGCGTGAAGTACTGGGCAGTACTGGTCAAAGAGCTGATTTTCAGTGGATCACGGCTTTGGAAATTCTAGATCAGAAATATCTGCACCCGGAGCTGACCGCTCTACCTGCAGCGTTCTATAATCTACCAATGATGTTGAACACCAGTACTGGATATTCCAACCCCAACAACATAAAACTAACCGGAGAGGAGGTCATGAAACGGTTGAGTGATTTAGCCTCAGATGTGGACTTTGTCTGTCCCGTTCTGGAATTTGCTGATTTGGCCGCAAGACGATCTGAGGCTAAAGTTTACTTGTATTATTTCACACAACCGTCGAGTAAATTACCATTTCCGGCATGGACTGGAGTCATGCACGGATATGAAATACATTACGTGTTTGGTATGCCCCATTCGACTGATTTTACAAAAACATTTTTCGGATTTACCGATGAAGAAATCAAATTTGGTGAATTGATGCAACAGCTCTGGGTGAACTTCGCGAAAACTGGGTAATAAATCATGTTCTTCTGCCCTGCATTCGTAAATGCATTGATAAATTTCTATTTTGCATTTGTGATTAAAATTCCACCGATAACAAATACTTGCAAGGGAAAATTAGGACAGAAGCTGCAAGGGAATATTTTTACTTTTATATTTGAGGTTTCTGATGAATCAACAAACTACAGGATTTTTAATGGTATTCCTACGACGGCACTGTGCCTTCTTAAATGCATGTAAGCTAATCCAACCAATAAACATTCCAGCTTGGATTCAGTGATTGAAATTTGCCCTTCTGCTTTTGTGTACATATACGCCGCCAGAGATCCGAATGGAAACTCTGGAACTTTAGGTATACCGCAATGGCCACCGTACAAGTCCTATTCCGATGAAACGAAACAACCAAATGAGACCGATCATTTCGTTCTAAAACAGAACATGGAACCCGGCAGCAGACTACGTGAAAAGGAATGTGAATTTTGGCTTCATTTGATGGAGGCAGAACGAAGAATTGCGTATCCGGATATCGGTAAGTAATATTTTGCATTTCTGAAGTTTACTTATGCATAATGCTATCGTTTTCGAGTTCTACTGCACAGCAGATCAAAAGTGAGGATGGACAAACCTGAATTAGAATATGAAAAATATAACTAACTGATGGTTAACTAACGTTGCCTTCATTGAGGAGCACGGAATCACGTCACTTGGTTTGTTCAAATGTTGACAAACTGCTTGTGAATTTCACTTAATAAAATAATGCTGCTTACGAATAAATCCAAACAAATAAAACATAAGTTTCAAAACATGATGTAAGAATTCGATATTCTGGAGGCAAAACCAAACGGATTTTGAAAATATAGACGAGTCGACATAAGATATTATTGTTTTTGAGTCTCAGTTTTTTCGACGTATGTGCGAATGGAGTGACTCTGGTAAGTTTGCCGAATACATTTTGGGTGATACTGATCTGCAACTAGCTTCTGGACTGAAACTCTCGTGCACAACCGGTGTTTACAAACGGGGAGTTCCATATTGAATCAATTTCAAATAATGATCTCGTATTATATATTCAAACATAATCTTCGATATACATCACCCTTTTTCAATTTCCGTTATTCATTCATTTCAGCATCACATCAGATGATCAATCGTTTCGTTCTGCTCTTGATCTTCCTCTCCATTCTGCGAATAAAAGCCTTTTGGAACTAAATAGAAAACGCGAATCTTGCCACGAACGTGTTAATACTCAACTTACGACCTAAGTTCTTCCCCTCTTTTTCGCTTAACACAAGAATTCGACATGGCTTTTAGCACACATACACACGTACAAACAGACTAACAATCTCTCTCTATCAAATGCACACAAACGTTGGTTGGAAATTTCCCTTCCTACCCAGTCAAAGTGATCCAAATATTCCTAACCTTACGCACGCACTTGTACACCTCCATCGTGAAACGAACGGTTCGTTTCCGAACACAAAGATAAAAGCGAACCTAGAAGGAAATTCCCCCAAGCAAAACAATCCGAGCGCACAATTCAAACGGATGTGTTTAACCGTGAGACAACGAACGGATATCCGCACTCGTAATCTGTCCCCAGAACTACAACTTACCTAGATCGGCCGCGACACTCGTGCCAATGATGTTTCCCCTTTTCTTATTCCCAACCATTGAACAGAGCAAAAGAGAGCTGAAACACACACAGACACACCAGTGAACACACACATGCATAATAAATAGACAAGCTACTGCAGTCCAATATCGACATATATACACACACTAGGCAGAGTGAGCTGGCAGCAAGTTTCAGATGCCGTCCAGCTTCGGTGTTCTTCTCATCCCTACTGTCCCTAAACTTCTTCCAATCCAATTACTACCCGTTGCTTGTAACTCTTGTTGTTGATAACGGTTTTCGAGCCCCAACTCCATCATTGCATTCTCAACTCAATAACACGCATAAATATATAAATAAATATATTCCAAATATTCCAAAGTTAGAATGAATTATGTTAACTAGATCTTTTTTCTAACAAGTCAAACTGAAGTTTGTTGATTGTACTACTTCCAGTTGTTTTGAAAATGAAAATAATACATATATATTCAATACAACTATGAGTAGGGATCAAATGGTCTGTGCTTTATCTGTCTAATTCCTCGTCTCATTGTGTGCTTGATCTATGTATATTTCACTTACGGCTTTTGGGCAACTGTGTGCTAAACGTACATAGAGACAAACCAAACTCTGGTTTTACTCAAAGAGCATCATCTACAAGTCGCGGAATGGTGCCGAACTAAGAGTGAACGGAAGCAGGAACAGACAGCTTAGAAAGAAAGCAGGAAAGACAAAGGTAGGCTGATTGTTCTCATACTACGCCTGATTTTGATTCCAGTCAATACAGAACAACAACAAACGAAAACTTGAATCCTAGCATTATTTCATGCAAAAAGAAAGTTTCTTTTGAAAGGTTGGCATTTAAATTGTGACCTAATGAAATTGGGACAATATAAAACGCTTGTCTAAGCTTTTATGCTCAAAACGGTCGCTAGCTGGGTGTGAAATACAGTATTCCCTACTCCCCGCGTGTGGTTCTGTTTTGTAGAACCATCAAAAAGCTTTGTAGTGTCCGTTTAAAACTTGTGGGTTAGGAACATCGGACCTGAAACTTTCCTTACACGCGGTCCATTTAGCAATATATATTGATATAATTTAAATAATGCTTTGCTGAATCAAGTATATTTTGTGTTCGTATCACAAGTATATTTTCTATGAAGTGATTGCATAATCGCTTTTCGGAGATAGAAAGAGAGTGGTGACGAATGGAAGCTTACCACAATCATCTCTGGGACGCCTTGTGTTGAAACATAATCACTCGAGTCCATACTCTATGATCAAGATGTATCACGAGAAGAGATCTTACAGCTCTTTTAATTTTTTGTGTTATCTCTTTCGCCTGTAACCATTGTTTATTCTTTAGATTGATAATATTGCTTTTTCATTGTTCTGCAACAGCATTCACTCATTCTGTTTGATGGGCAGCTTTAGCGCATTTGACAGTTTTTATTGCCGTGATGTACTTTTAGATGATTCCAAGTGCACCGATATTCTATTTTCGGTTATGGCGACCAATTTGATGGACTGCTCAAACTTCAAACATTTCTCATTATTCGTAATGTCGCGATTGTCATTTGTTGTGTAGATTTTATCACTGCAGTTTTCATGACACCGAGAAAGTCACTATTTTCTGCCATTCGCCGTACACTGTTTTTCATGTGTTTAGTGCATTGTCAACGATGTAGTTCAGTGCGGTTCTCCAGTAACGCTTTCTGATTTACTCTCGAAATATTATTTACTTATCTGTAAGTCTTGCAAACGCCTATCCAAATACAGTTACATTCATCGAAAGCTACTCATCAAGTTTATTGTCTTTAAACATTCCCGAAAGCCTTTAAACCATAATCCGGGAAAATGTTTATCCAGCTCTTCAACTCTTTAACACTAAATCTTAGCGCACATATGTTTTATAATATTTAGCTCGTTCTCTCAGTAACTACGAACAATATGTATCTGAACTCACAACGATACTGCGTTGATGGCCATGCCACTTGGTTTGTGGCTTCCAGTTTCTCATGCCATATACAAGTACTTATTCTTTTGCGTTGAGATGATAAGGTATTAGCCGAATATACATCCTCTAGGATGCGTCAAACATGCACACGAATTGCCTGATTGTAGTAATAGTCCATCAACCTTGTATCCCTTTTTACTGGCACTAGTATTTGGAAGAAGGGATTAATTTCACAGAGTTTACTCCTACTTTGAAACCATTTCCGATTCTCTCAACGCAACTTTCTCTTTGAGTTTAAATAGAACATGCAAGTGTTCGTCGTAGTTTGGTTTACTGTCTGCTTCCTCTTCATTCTTTGAGTTCATAGTGATTCGGTTGGACTGAACATGGATGAGCCTCAAGTCAAACGAATAACTGTCGTCGGGAGTGTTTCAATTTATGAAACGGGCATCAGAAAACAACTAAAATTAACCAGGAAAAGCCTGCCCGTCGAGAAAAGAGTTTTTTATTCATTTAACGTTGACCACTTGATTTACTTCGTATAAAGCTAATAAAACGAATAAAACACCACGTGTCTGATTGATGCACAAATCAACATTCGCGTCAACGATTATGAAATCACTGACATGCAATCTCTTCCATATAACGCGCATGCTCAGACAAGCGCTCACACGCACACCAAAACCGGTCGTCTCTATGCACAGAATGCCTTTTCAAAATGAGAAAGTGAATGACAGCAAACTGCACCAATTAGTGAATAAGTGTGAAATGATTGAGAATGTTTAATGAGAATACTTGTTTACTGTTAAATTTTATCGTCATTTGCACTTGTAGGTTGCTAGTTGCTCAAACTGCTTTCGTATTGGACAATAATAACTAAACTGATGTTTTTACCCAAAGTAACTTGATAAAACATGTTATATTATGTTCAATAAGTTGAATTTAATCCGACAGAATAATCCAGCATGCATGCGGTTAGATCGAAGCACAATGTCAGTTAGCCGCGGCAGCGTTCATTCATTTGTTAATGAATTACCCAAACGGGATGTACTTGTCATATCAGGGTATTGGAACGCTCCATGAAAGAAAATGTGGAGAGGTTTGGTTTGGGTCGGCGCTACAAGAATGGTAACGAGCAGTTCAAAGTTGCCGATTATAATAGACTATTTATTATCAAAACGCGGTTTCAACATCTGAAAGGCATCCTCTGACTTGGTAATTTACCGACGGATGAACCAACTAAATCACCTCATCCGTTCACGATGGATTTCTTCGGCTATAGACTGTCGATCTTATCGCGAGGCTGAAAGCGGGAACAAAAGCGGATCTGTTAATGTGCTAGTTCGCGCAAAATTTAGAATCCATCTAACAACTCGCAGGAAGGCCGTCCCCTCCAAACTCCACTAAAAAACGGTGGTAAATGCCAAGCACTGATGGACATGATAACTG